ATTAAGATATGATTTATTAGATAAATTTTTTAAAGGTATAATTTAAGCAAAGTCACTTAAATACATCAGACCATTTATTTTAGATTAAACAAGTTTTTTATAGAAATTTTGTACTAATTTTGTCAATTTAAACAAAAATTATATTAAGGCAATACCTTCTTACAAAAGTTTTTTAAAAAGTCATATTTGATACATAAGCAATAAATTCATTATAGATTGTAGTTAAACATGGTATGTACATATCAAAAATATAAATATTATAAAATCTCTAAATAAAAACAGACAATTCAACTCAATTTAAATGACTAAAAATAACTTATAATAAACATTAGTAATTTTACACATTTGAATTATATTATAAAAAATTAATAAATTAATGTGTATTGTGTAATGTGGTAATAATTTTTATCCACATTATAATTTATAATTTTACAAAAATATTAAATACTAGAAAAATATCAATTCCTAAAACAACCACTTCTAATTTTATAATATCTTTATTATTGTCATATTGGTATAAAATTAAACTATGTTTTGTATCAAAATTTTGTAAATTGATATAAAGATATTTTGGTTAATTATGAAGACAAAAAGGTAATCAATATATATATATATATATATATGTGTGTGTGTGTGTGTGTGTGTGTGTGTCTGTGTGTGTGTATCTTTTTAAAAAAATTATTTGTCTTTGTGAGATGATTTATCAACTCATAACTTGATATTTTTTTGTTGCAAATAAACCGATTACATGTCACATTGACTTTACAAATTGGGTCTATACTCAGTTTGCAGTTCTATACAATGTTTTAACACAGACACATTATGTTGCTAAATTTCACAGGACATCACAAGTAGAAAAAACACAATAATTTACAAAAATAATTTAAAATAAGCAACTCTTTCAAAACTTTTTTTCCCTGGACATAGCAAGTATTAAAAAAATTATAGAAATTTGTTTTACTTCACGCACACAAACTTGGCTTGGAAAAGAAACACACACACATATATATACATATATATATATATATATATATATATACATATATATATATATATATATATACACATATATATTCTACGAAACAAGTAAACAAGCAAACAAACAAACAAACAAACGGGATTGCACCAAAGAATCAAAACGGTTATCAAATCTCACAAATACGGTAAAAAAATTTAAGAAAGCATCAGATCGTGTTAAATTTTTTATTTTATTCTATTCTATTTTTTTCTAATTCGGTTAGTTAGGTCAGTAAGTGTGAAGTGGATAAAGCACAAAGACTCCCCCACAGTCACAAACAAAATAAAACTAAACAAACAATTAAACAACACAAGCCTGGATTGTGAGAAGGTCGGGCAGGGCCGGGCCGGGCGAGGACCGAGTCTGGATGCTGGGGCCCAGGCCGAGTTGACTCTGGATCCCGGGTGGTTGCGACCCGGGCCGGTGAGACACCAGCTCATTTGGAATGTTGCAGTGCTTTAGAATCTTCAGGTTTCAAAAATGAAAACCCTAAAACTCTCTGTTTGTGTATTGTATGAATATATGGGTGTGTGTGTGTATATGAAGATATTATTAGGCTCTTTTTCTGATCAATTGTACTTATATTTAAGATTTCATACCAATAATTTAAAGTACAATCAATTCAAGAAAGTTTTGTGATTTATTTAATTTTTATTGTTTGATCGTGCAATTAGTTATGAATAGAAAGTAAAGTTTATTTTCGAAATTGTGGCATCAAAATTGATTTTTCGATTCAGTAACAAATGTAACCCCTGTGTGGATCAATTTTAATGACAATGATAAGTGCTACTATTAGTGTTGAACTTATTGATAGATAATTGCTTGCAAAGCAAAACAAAAGACTCACTCTTTGGTAAATAGAGTTAAAATATTACTAAATTATTGACAAATTTTTAAAATAAAATAATTATGTTCATGTCAAGGTATTATTAAATGCACTATCAATTTAAATTTATTACTGATCCTTATTCTGGATCACTTTGTAAATCTTCAAGAAATTATAATCCATATGTTTTGATTGCAAATGATTTCGTTTTTAATTACTTGTTTTTCCTCATTGATAAGTTAAACTCAATTGAATTTTTAAAAATGGATTGATCTTTCATTATCCACAAGATACCCAAGGATTCACAAAACACAGTAATAAACCATAACTGCTGTGCATTCAATACTCAATTATCACAGGGTCCCCAGGACTTTAAATTTAATAATTCCAAATGAATTTGAAGGGTCAATGAATTGCAGAATAGTGTGTTTTGGTCTTGTTTTTATTTAGTTCTGAGGCGAATGTATATAATTTTATAAGCTATCATTGAAACATAAATCTCAAATATGCTTTAAAATATTAAAACTTTAGTTTACAATTGAATATCACTTTAAATATCTTGTGATATAATAGATTCTTGCTGCTTTGTTGTTGATGTTTGTATTTTGCTTTTTAATATTTATTTTAGTGATTTATTTATGTTGATTAAAAAAGCAATTAATTGATGTTATGTTTTTCTCAGTTTGTTTCTTTGTTGTCTTTCTTTTCTTTTTCAAAATTTTCGTATGAAAATTTATTTTTACTAAAACATTAGATACTGTGTTAATAATACAAAGTCTTTTTAACTTAAAAATACAAGATTGTAAATAGATTGTATTCATTTCTTCCTAATTACACGTATAAATGTCTTTTTTGTATGATCTGTATTAATCATACATACTAATAGTTACATTTTGTTCTTCTACTTTTTAGACAAGTACATGTAATGCATCTGCTATACATTAACATCATTTGCATGAAAATAATCACTTGAATAACTCCCTCTTGATCTACAAAGAATGAACGTCCAAATTATAAACAAGGAAGATGATTTTGCAAAATCAATGTTGATCTATTGTCAAGAGTTAAAATGGGTTCATAATTTGATTTATTTTATTTTTAATCATTTGACTTGCAAACGGGTCCAATCGGATTTGCTAAAAGAACACATGTTAAATAAATAAAGGATTTAAAGTCTAGATTTTTGTCACTAGTTAGGCTGCAGACTATAGGAGCCCATGCATAGCCCACTCAATATGCGGATGAATTGGGTAATATTCACCTACAATTTGATTTAGAGAACTTATTTGTAGAATTGCCTCGTCATGCATGCAAAGTTTTATTTTTTTTATATTAAGTGCATGCACTTTCGTATTTGACTCCACAAGAATTTTATTCAACAAGCATATAGTGCATGCTTAAATATAAGGAATTGTTAATCTTGAGTTTTTTATTTTCAAAGTGATTAATGTGTGTGTATATATCGGAAATAGTTAAATTGACCCAAAAAATTACTAAATTACTAAATTACTCACCCTTCATAAACAACATCAAAAAATCTCTATTGTTGGATCTACATTGGTCGAAAACCAATGAAAAAATGATTGGATCCTCAACCAATGATGATAGATGGGCCAATTTAGTAAATGCTTGGATCAATTTAACAATTCTCTATATGTATATACACACATATATACATACATACACATATAAAAAAATATGCACATAGTTGAATAAAAAATCATAATTAAAATACAAATATTATTAATAAAATATGTTCTAAATTTATAGATATATTTTTTAATTAATATTTTTATTATATTTTAATTTTAAAAAAATTGTGTTGATTCCAATGATCATTTGAATACTTTTAATAAGATTTTAACATCTAGTTTTGGAAGTATTAGTATCAATTTATAATTATGTAAGAACTGATGTTTAGTTCTATTATGCAACATTAAATAACACTCATTAGAAAATATGATAACAAAACATTTGAAAATGTAAAAAAAGTGATCTTGTAATTACAGTTTTGGGAACACCCCTCTATCTTATCCAAATAATACAAAAGAGTTTAATTTTACAAATGGATTTAAACACATAATGGCATGTTCATAAATGGTTTCATTGCGTAAGATTGCCTTAATCTGAACCTTTCACTAATGTCATCTATGTGTGTGTAAATTTTTTTCCCTTTAAACTAAATTAATATATATATATATATATATATTTTTTCCCCTTCTGTTTTATTAGACGTCTATCTTACAAGCACTATGAACATACACATTGGATTATAACGTTCATTCGCGCACACAAGCATCGATCATCGACACCGCATCCATCCTCCCATACACGCCATCTGTTCATCCACTTGGAGTGGATGAAGAAATCCAGGTACGAATGAACAAGACCCACCATCCATCCAGATTCGAGTTCCTTCATGGCATCTGGGGTTAAAGGATAAGCAGCCAACGAGAACGTGAGCTGAATGGAAACAAAACCCCACAATAAAAGAGAGCTCCCTCCTTTGCAATCGTGGCCGTCCATCGCGTCGCAGGAGGAAAAGGTCATCGCCGCCGTCGATTAACAATTCCGTCGTCAGGCGCGGGACAAATAACCGGAGCTAGTCAGTTTATTTATTTATAATAATAATAACAATAATAAATAACAATAATCCAGGATGTACTTGATCATGATTACTCCCTACGAAAACCTGTGGCACTGCTTCCATAATTCATCCATCCATATATTCATCCACAAGGCTATGCATGCAAGGATGGGAGGGAAGGGTGAGCGGGCATGGGTCCATTGGGCATAGGGAAGGACGGGTGTGGTGATAGGTCGTGGATGTTGGGCGGGCGGGGGAGGGGCCATTCTGTCTTAGCCCTGAGCCCTGACCCCGTGCCGTGGCCATGGGGCCAGGGGGTTGCTTCGTTCGACTCGTTGCAACCTCAGCAGAGAGAGAGTCTACTATGAATGGCCACACTACTTGTCAGTGCAGCTTTTCTTTCTTTCTAGCTGGTTTTCTATTTTCAAATTCCCTATCATGCTGCTACTGATGCGCAGGGATGATGTCGTCGTCGTCGTCGTCGATTCTTCCTCTTCATCCACTACTAGTTCTTCTGTGCCAGACGACGAAGTGAGTCACCCGAGCTTCCGCAATATATAGCCGCTTGCGCACTCGGGGCTGACTTTTGGAGTGTGTATTGTTGCGTTGGGCCCGGGATAGTTTGAGCTAGAGCTATCTATCGGGGGTGTTATCGAGTTGCGGTTCGGTCTCGGCTGACAATTTATGCCGTGGTTAGATTGTTGATCACGCTCTCTTCATTGTTCCTTGTCTCGCTCGTTTTTCTTGTGTGTCAGACTTCCTCCATTTGTGCCAGAGATTGAGAGACAGATAGTGAGAGAGTGAGAGAGGAGCAAAGGGATCACGGATTGGTGGTGGAGGCCGTGGAGGTTTTTGTTGCCTGCTCTAGGAACCGGCTGCGCGGCCTATATTTGTCGTTTAGGGTATGTGTGTTTTTGGTGCTGGAGAGGTGAGTTTTCTGGGAGTGGTCGTGATCGCCTTCTTATCAGTGTGGACTGAGTGTCAGGATAACTAAGCTACGCGTCTGCGTCGTGTGATTGTGAAGCCGCTCTCAGGTGGGATAAGCTCTGGCCTGCGCGCGTTTGGCCGCGGCAGGGGTCGGGTTTCCCTCGTATCGGCCCATGGTTTTTTCCGTCTGTCTTACTGCTGTGGTGCGGAGGTATCATCTTCGCTGGGGCTTGGGAAGACGCGGATTGGTCTTGCAGCAGTTGTAGATTATTGCGGTGTGGTGAAGTTCCGGTGAGTGTGGCACTATCTCGAGAAGGAAGGTCGATTATCGAGGTTTTGGTATATTTGGTGCATTTATGAGGATGAGAAGCTGATTTGCTTCTTGCAAGAGGGCGAGGGTTGTCAGTGTTCGTCTAGGTTACGGGAAAAATTCTTCTGTACTGCTTGGCGCGCTTAGCAGTCTGGACGATTTTCCTTCACCATGAGTACAGGCGCCGTGATCAGGTGCTTACAAGATCTGAATTTTACATGAACTGGCGGTATGATCAGGTCGTCGTCAGTGCCACTTTAGTTTGCAATGGTGTAAGGACCAGGTTCGTGTAATGTCTGTGGAGAAGCATCGGAAGTTTTGAGGATTATGAGGTGGGCGTGTGGCATGAAAGCATTCGAGAAAGGAAAAGAAGGTGTGGTCGACCAGGTCTACTGACTTTGGTCAGTTGGTGCCTGGACAGTTGACTGATAGTGCTATTGAGTGGCTGGGCAACAGGACATGGTTTCTTATGTAGTGGCATTGCAATCCTTGACCTGTCTGCTCTAAGGCGACAGGTTGGCTGTAGATGGTCGGGTTGACATAGAGCTTGGAAAATGTCCTATCACCTCCTCATTCACTGTTGAATACTTAATTTAGTAGAGGTTAGGGTAGCGTAGTTCGATTTGGTCAGGGTCAATGCGTTACCTTTCACTGCCGTTCTGTGGTGACTTCTAGTTTTTCTTCTTCGTCTGTCAGATGCGACCTAAGTTCATTACTTAGAGTTCCAATGGCTAATCCCAATTCGCACTGGACTTGACTGTATCAACATGAACTAGAAACTTGTCTCCTGGTGCAGGAACTTCCGATGGAGGTCGCAGTTGCTGCATGAGTCACAATGTGGTTTATCTGCATGGACAGGAGTTCAGTGCGGGTTCAAAGTAGTAGGAATTATGTGTCAGATGTCATGTTCTGTAACGAAGGTTCAACTTTTCGTGATCGACTTCTGTTTATCGTTCTTGCGCGCTTCTTTCGGGGGTTATGGGCTACTGCTATGTAGTGCTGACATCGCTTTTGAACTTTGTAATTTTCGTTCTAGTGACTACCAGGGCAGTGACAAGTGATTAAACTGTGAGAATTGTTGTTTTTAGAACAGTTGGCATTTGTACATTAGACTGACATGTCTATGTACCCTTCTTCATAGTTCTGATTTTTTGCAATCCTGTAGTCGTGGCCACATGTTATTTGATTGCTATCGTCATTCTGGCGTGCATGTTACTCCTTTTTGTTGATGGAAATTTGATATTGGTTTTCAGATGCACTTTGCACGTTCCTTTCAGTGAAAAAAATATAAATATATTCGAGCGAATTTTGACATAGCAGGGGTTACAATATCAATTTCCTCCCCGAAGTGCTTATTCCAGTGATTTTGGTTTTCTGCAACAGGTAACGACTGACCGTTTAATAGATCCAGCGGCGGACCTGGAAATCATCAGCAGCCAGGCTCCCTTAACATTCATTTGTCATCATGCCGCGGAGACGCAAGACCCCGCGAGAACTTGAGGAGAGTGACCGAGCTCAGGCTTTAGTGGAAGCCCAGAATTCGGCGCCAGCTGAAGCAGGAGAAACAGAGGGATCAGCACCCTCAGCTCGCTCATCGGCACCTGGTTTGAAGCGGACTCCCGCTTCTGCTTCGGGTCCATCAGGGTCTGCAGCTCCGTCTCCGGGTCCTGTCGCATTACCAGTGCCTGTACAAAATGCCGATCCTCAGCCTGCGGAAAGACAAGGCCATGGTCAAGCCCACTCTCAGAATGTAGGAGAGGGAGGACAAGGCCAATGTTCGGTTCAACCTCAGGGGCAAGGACAAGAGTCTGGTCAAGGACAAGGATCGGGGCAAGGACGCGATGAATCCAGTAGCGGTGGACCTCCTGGGCGTGGGAGGGGTATGTGTGGAGGCGAGCGAGGTTCTGGAAGGAGAGGTGGTAGGGGCCGTTTTAATCAGGGCCCACCACACAGCACACTCCACCAAAATGTTCCTGGCTCTTTTAGTCCTCATCGTGAACAATATCGTGGCCAGAATGGGCATGACTATTACGAAATGCAAAATCAGGGTTACAGCTCTCCTATGTATGGAAGGCCCTCCAGACCTTTCCAGCAACCGATTCCTCCAGCACCCAGACCTCTGCCCCAAGGGGGAAGAGGCCCTTCGTACCCAGGGCAAGCATATGGACGTGGCGGAGGTCCTCCTGCTCATTTTTCTGCATCACCTCCAAGTTACGGACCAGGTGTAGGTGCAGTTGTTGAGCAGTTTGGGTCGGTGGTTTTGGGTGGTGTGGGGCATAGTTCCAATGTTGGCCAAATTTCAGAACCCCATGTTTCTAAATATGAACAGCCATCCACACCTCCACCAATTTCTAGTAAACAGCTGAGGTTTCCTTTGCGTCCTGACAGAGGAAGGATTGGCCAATGGTGTATCGTGAAAGCAAATCATTTCTTTGCCGAGCCACCTGACAAAGATCTGCATCAATATGATGTATGTCGTCTCCTTTCTCGATGGCTTCATAATTGCTTTGCCGCATCAAGTACTTTGAACGTAATTTCATCGGAAATCCCAATGAGTGGATGTAATTTTGTGTCCTGTATAGTCTGCAGTTGTTGAATTTTTGTAAGGAAACATGTAGTCTAGTTGCTTGTACCTCATTGTATATGAAATATTACAGGTTACAATCACCCCAGAGGTTCCATCCAGAGGTATCAACAGAGCCGTCATGGAGCAGCTTGTTAAACTTTACAGAGAGTCTCACTTGGGCACTAGGCTTCCTGCTTACGATGGTAGGAAGAGTCTGTATACGGCTGGACCCCTTCCATTTCAGAGCAAGGAATTCGAGATCAGACTCTTGGACGAGGATGATGGGACCAACCAACCTAGGTGTGAATTGTTACTGGGAGTGTTTTTTTCTTTTGGTTTGGACATTGGCCTTAGCTTGATTTGAGAGTAGTACTAAATCTTAACTCATCCTTATGTTGCCCAAGGTCTCTTACAGATTTATGGGGTTGGCTGCAGACGGGAGAGGCCCTTCAAAGTTGTAATTAAATTTGCTGCCCGAGCAGATTTGGATCATCTCAGACGATTTCTTCTTGGGCGCCAAGCTGATGCTCCTCAAGAAGTCCTACAAGTCTTAGATATTGTATTGAGGGAGCTTCCTACCCATCGGTATGCTTCCTGTGTCAGCTTTCTGTACTTTTGGGAAGCATCTAAAAAATAATACTTGCATGCCTATTTCAGGGACAATGTGCATGTTCTTGCTATTGAAAGTCTGTCTGACAAGGAACTTTGTGCGCAAAGGTATTCTCCTGTAGGACGCTCTTTTTATTCTCCCAATCTGGGAACTCGACAGCCGCTAGGAGATGGTCTGGAAAGCTGGCGGGGCTTCTATCAAAGTATTCGACCAACTCAAATGGGGCTGTCCCTAAACATTGGTAACCACTGTTTCTTGCCCTACTGATCCGCATTGTCTTAATTGTGAAATATTGAAAGAGCTTATTGTTATTGAGGTTGAAAGCAATTTCTTACATGTGATTGTGGTCCACTATTCAATCTCTCTCTTCAAAGAGTGTGTGCCGAAAACGAGCTGATTTTTTTTTTTTTGTGGTTTTTTACAGACATGTCTTCCACAGCGTTCATAGAACCCAAGACTGTGATGGAGTTTATAGGGGATCTCCTCAACAAGGACGTGACACGTGGTCTATCCGATGCTGATCGCATGAAGGTGAGATTCCTTACACTTCCGAGTTTAGCCTGTCATCCGGACCCATTTGAAGTTTCTCCCATTATTTTTTTTCTTTTATATATTAACAAAAATAAGTTTTTTGGTGAGTAAGTCGTGGAACATTTGTGCTTGGTTTACAGATCAAGAAAGCTCTTCGTGGAGTTAAAGTGGAAGTGACTCATCGCGGAAGTATGCGTCGCAAGTACCGCATATCTGGGCTTACAAATCAGGCCACCAATGAATTGGAGTGCGTTCTAAACTTTTAAACTATCTTCCGGTTTCGAGTTTGATATTGCACACAAGACCTCTGTCTTATTGCGAAATATAGTAGGGTGAAACATATTGATTGGTATATACTTTTGGATGTTTTATCAGGTTCCCAGTTGATGATAATGGTACCTTGAAGTCTGTTACCGACTATTTTCGGGAGACGTATGGCTATGTTATCCGGCATCCATCTTTGCCTTGCCTCCAAGTAGGGAATGCTCAGCGTCCCAACTATCTTCCCATGGAAGTCTGCAAGATCGTTGAGGGCCAGCGGTACTCCAAACGGCTGAATGAGCGCCAAATCACCGCACTTCTTAAAGTTACTTGTCAGCGACCACGAGACAGAGAACACGCCATTATGAATGTACGTATCTACGAGTTGTCAATTTTTTGTACCACAATTAGTGTCTTTTTAATAGTACTCGGTTATTATGTGTTTGCTGCCTTCTGTACATGTAAAACTTAAGGTCTTTTAAGGTAAAGAAGAAAGGTCATTATGTTATAGGAACTAATATATATATATATATATATATATATATATATATATATAACCTGGTTTTGGCTTATGGACACAGACGGTACACCATAATGCATACCATCAAGATCCTTATGCTCAAGAATTCGGAATTAGAATCAGTAATGAACTTGCGCAAGTAGAGGCTCGAGTCCTTCCAGCTCCACGGCTCAAGTACCATGACACTGGCAGGGAAAAAGAATGTCTTCCACAAGTTGGACAATGGAACATGATGAACAAGGTTTGTATCCGCATGGTTTTCTTCGACGAATGGATAAGCCAGTTCATGAATGTGCGATGAATTCTTCATTTTCAGATTTAATAATTAAAATCAAAATTACCATATCAAGATTATTGACTCGAATGAGTTCGGTTGGTTTTACAGAAAATGGTTAATGGTGGAATCGTCAACAACTGGGCATGCATCAATTTTTCACGCAATGTCCAGGAAAATGTTGCTAAGAGTTTCTGTCAAGAGCTGGCTCAGATGTGTCAGACATCTGGAATGGTAGGATAAAAAATTTCTGCTTATAATGGCTATGACACGTTTTTAGATATCTGAGAGATTGGCGTGACTTTTAGCCGATCTAGGTGATAGTTTTAGTTTGAAGATTCATTTACTCCCTTTGGTCTGTAGTGTTTCATTTTTGGAACTATGCACCGTTTTCTTCTATGTTCCAAGCCGCAAAAGAGATTTGTAATAATCATGTTTATTGCAGTGTGTTTGGAGCTATTTATAGTTTTTGTGCAAGGTTTATTCGATTTTGCTATCACATTCATTGGTTGGCTCTCGTTCGTTGCTACTCCGTATGGTACAGGCTGAACATTGTTGTGGTGTGTGATTATGTGTTGCAGCAATTTACTAGGGACCCCGTAGTGCCTCTTCAATATTATCACCCTGATAACTATGACCGAGCTTTGATTCATCTATGTGATGACGTGTATAAAAAGACGAAGGGCAAGAGCTTGGATCTCCTCATAGCTATTCTACCAGACAACAACGGGCCTTTATATGGTATGTTAAGGTTCTTGTTTCTATCAAACAGATTAAAACTCTTTCATTTAAGTCCTGACGACTTATGGGTAATGTTAACTTTGGCATAATCTGGTTGGACTTTTATTTGCGATTTTATTTAAGCTTGATTCTATCTATTGTGCATGGTATGTAGGTGATCTGAAGAAGCAATGTGAGACTGTCCTGGGAGTGGTTTCACAATGTTGTTTGACTAAGCATGTCTTCAAGATGAGCAAGCAGTATTTAGCAAATGTGGCCCTCAAAATTAATGTGAAGGTAATTTTAACTAGGTCGTAACTAGACTATGTATTTCAGGTCTTTCATACTGTTTTGTCAGTGTTATACCTACTCCTTGTCGTCTTGAATATAGAAACGTGGGTCTTTATAAGACTGATTTATGATTCTAATTGTGTCCATTGTACACTTCACAGGTCGGAGGTCGGAATACTGTTTTGGTAGATGCACTTTCACGCAAGATCCCTCTTGTCAGTGATATTCCCACTATAATATTTGGTGCAGATGTTACCCACCCTCACCCTGGAGAGGATTTCAGTCCTTCCATAGCTGCAGTAAGTTACTGTAACCAAGCGATTGCCCCCACTTATTAATAGCTGATAAGCTATATGTATTTAGGTCTCAATTGAGAAGTGTCGCCCTTGATTTTGAATTCTCTTAACGTGTACATAGTGCGCACGATTTCCTGGCGATGACATTTTGTCGTCTATATGCAGGTGGTAGCTTCGCAGGATTGGCCTGAGGTCACTAAATATGCCGGATTGGTGTGCGCTCAAGCTCACCGTCAGGAGTTGATTCAGGATCTGTACAAAGAGTGGAAGGATCCTCAGAAAGGCTTGATGACAGGAGGGATGATCAAGTAATCTTCTACTTGGAATTTGGCATACCTAATTAGTTTCATATTGGACGCTTTTTACTTGCTTGTATTATTATATTTGAAAGTTTCTTGGTGTAATTGGAAGAATATATGTACTAAATCTTAACGTCTATGTCAAGCTGCCCCACCTGGTAGGGTCAACAGCATTGGATCTTTAGTTGTGGTTTGCATCCTCGGCTACTTTCTGCCGCTGATTGATTGTGCTCCTGTGTTGTTTTATAGGGAGCTCCTGATCTCTTTCTGGCGCGCAACAGGTCAAAAGCCTCTTCGCATCATTTTTTACAGGTTTGCTTCAGAACTATTCACAAACTAGATTATTTGCATAAGTTCATGTAAAATTCGTGTGTAATGATGGTGTTTCTGGTGTAGTTCCTTGGGATGCTCCCAATTAGGTCTGGGGGCTTAGTTAAAACTAAATGTACGCATTGCCATGTTTGTTAACTAATTCTGTTGGTTCCAGGGATGGAGTTAGTGAAGGGCAGTTTTATCAGGTGCTTCTGTTCGAGCTGGACGCAATCAGGAAAGCTTGCGCTTCCCTTGAACCGGATTACCAGCCTCCAGTCACGTTTGTGGTTGTGCAGAAGAGGCACCACACTCGATTATTTGCCAACAATCACAATGATAATCGCTCTACGGATAGAAGTGGCAACATTTTACCAGGTGCAGTCATTATTTTCGTAGAATACATTGCTTTATTTATCTGCTTATATGGAAGTCATTTTCTTTGGCATTCTCAACCTGTGAGACTGCGGTATGGTGTTGTTGGACGCGTTGCTGTAACAACCGTGTTTACACTGACTAACTTCGACATCACATCCTTCGTATTTTAGGGACTGTTGTGGACTCGAAGATTTGTCACCCTACGGAGTTTGACTTTTATCTTTGCAGTCATGCTGGAATTCAGGTTCATATCCATTTTATACTTTTATTGATTTGTGAAATGTTTCATCTGCTAGAAATGTGGAAGCATATGTATCTTTGTAAGGAATAGAATTTCTGATCGCTTGCAATGCTAAGCTTTTGGGAGCTTGTTATTTTGCAGTTTCTAGATTTTGTGCATGTTAAGTATTTCTACTACTCTCGTATTTACTTCATGGAATCTGTGCTTATGATTTTACAGGGGACTAGTCGACCTGCACATTATCATGTACTATGGGATGAAAATAAATTTTCTGCGGACAGTTTGCAGTCGTTGACAAACAATCTTTGCTATACGTATGCTCTCCTTCAAACTTTAGTATTTGTATTCTATCTGTGGCTGATCTGTTCATTACTATGTTCTGTACGACAGCCCTTTTTCTGCTTACCAATTGCCGTTGTAGACAAAGACTCTCCTGCATAATCTTTTTCCTTTTTTTTGATTTATTTTGTTTACGTGAGATTCACTAGAAATGTATGACCGGAAGACTTAGCATTATAATGTTGAATGATCGTGTGTCGACAATCGTGGCTTTTCGGATAGCAATGTGCTAATTGTTTTGTTTTGTTTTTTGTTTTTTGTTTTTTGTTTTTTTTTTTTTTGTGAATATAGGTATGCACGGTGCACACGTTCAGTATCTATTGGTATGTCGCAGAATCCTGCTAATCCACATCATACTTTTTTGAATCGGAAACAATTTTGCCCTAGTGTTGTATCCATCAACCTCTTTAATCCGTGTTCTGCTTTTTTGTACCGGAGAATGTTCAAAATTCTAGATGCTTTGTCATTTTTAATTTAAGTGTGAGTTCACATTACTTACTAGAATACGACGTTCTCTAATGATGAATCGCAGTTCCTCCGGCTTATTATGCGCATTTGGCTGCTTTCCGAGCGCGCTTCTACATGGATCCAGAAGCTTCCGATACTGGATCTCTAACTAGTGGGATGGGAGGGGCTAATCGGAGCCAGTACACTGGATCAGCAACATCTCGTACCAATCGTGTGGTGGGAGGAAATGCTGTGCGTCCACTTCCTCCTCTGAAGGAGAACGTGAAGAGAGTCATGTTCTACTGTTAATGTTAATTTGGGATACCTACGATATCACGCTGTGGTAACTTGCTCGAATATCCCCTCATATTGGATGTATGTATCATTATGTTCAATTATGATATCTTGACTTGAGCAGTCAAGATCGACATCATGCTTCAAGGAATTAGGAAGGTAGGGTGCACTGATTGGCAATGTGGAGAATCTTTCTCTGCTATTGCATGTGGTAACAGCGGAGTTTGGTTTGTCTTGTATTGGGTTTGAAGTTGGATGTTACAAGCCGGATTATAATTTTAGTGACAAAGCAGTGTTTGGGAGTCAATTTTGTTTTCACTTTGTGTCTATCATTGCCAATACCAATGATACGATCAATCTGTGAATCTTGAAGTTTTCTTGCTTAGTGTTTAAACAGAATTGAAACCTATATTAGTGGTTTCAAGTATTGGAAAACTTCGCAAAAGCTGCTCTAAAGCTTAGTCTTGATAATATTGTTTTGTGTTGGTTTTGGAAATTAACCTCTTGTATGTTTGACCACATGCATGTATTGTGATCCTTGTTACTATTATTAGTTTATTTATTGTGGGGTGTGATTTCATTACATTTTCTATTGGTATATTGGTTATTTTATTTAATATTGTAATGAGGTGTTAAAGAGTAGCTACGCTGAGATTAATTGTTGAAAGATAACTTGGGATGGTTTCTAAACTCAATATATGATGATTTATTTATCTATGACAGGTACAGGCTGAAATTTCACTCAGACAAGGAAACCTTTTTATAAATTAGAAACTTTCATAAAATCATATCATTACAAAGTGTGTCTCAACTAAAACCCAAGCACTACATTTTTCAGGAGTTCAATCAAGATAATTGACATGATTTTATATATTAAAATAGTGTGATATAATAAAGAGAAATGCCACACATGCGAGTGAAATATGCCGAAATATAAATAATACCCATGTATTCTTGATAATATCAAATCTATCCCTGTCTTTTGTAATAATTGCAAAAATGCCCTTCAATGTGATAACCTATCTATTTCATGTTTTTTTTAGTTTTTGTAGTTTGAACTGCGCCCAACTGCGGCACTTTTCCTCACTTTCTCAGCCTCGCACTAAATGAATGCCCTCTCCCTCGCAGCTGTCTCAGAATTTTCAGCATTGTACCTAGGGAAGAGAGCACAATGGAGAATCATGGTTCGCTGAATTTCAAAACAGCGCATAGTCTAACAGACTCCGCAACAACATCATAATAAGAAAATCAAGCATAACAAAAATACAATTGCGTCCAACTCAACTCAAAAACCACTTCCTCTCAAAACAGTCAACAACACACACACATTCTCGCAACTATTCTTCTTGACTTCGTGATTATAACCACAATTTTCCGTGATGCATTAACAAACACAATTTAATTCCACATCTTCTTCAACTAGTTCAATTGTTCCGAGCTCGAAATCAAGTGGGGTTACTCCCAATCAATCAAGGAACACACTCACCTCGCAATTTGGAGACACAATGTGATGCTAAGGCGAGCACAAAACGAAAAGAAAAAACCAATAGGCCTGGGCCTGAAACCTGGAGCTGTGAATGGACAACAACCCAACTCCAGATTAGTAGATATTAGACACCGAATATCTCACGCACAAGATTGCTGTCGTCGTAAACGCGAAGCAGCTCACAATGAATTGCGAACTGACAGGCCATCCATGTCGGGAAGTGCCTACATGAGCTCAACTGCGTTTGATTGTAATATGAGATGCAGTCATCATCCAACAACTCCGTAGTAGACTGGATACTATATTCTTTGTGCCAACTCGGTGCGAGATACGTATCTTGTAAGCCTCACAGTTAAACAACTAGCACGACGATAGTGACGTGAACTCCAGCAGCGTCTGTGATCCAGGTCCAGTTGCTGGTCGATCACAATCAGCTTGTGTTTTGTCGTGGATACCGACATCGGATCTGGACTACACCGCAGCTGGCTAGTCTCGACACACGCAGTAGAGTGATTTTACAACACAACGATGCAATCGAACCTCCAGCACGGTTTAATACTTTATGCATGGGAGATATTGATCACCTTCTGGGTTTGTTTTGAACTTGTTGGACTGATTAGAAATGGCAGTCGACATCAGATTTGTAAATCCATGCAAAACTGTATTCTATGAAATTTTGAGCTGGAATCAAGTGTCATCTCGTACTCAACATCTTGTTCTGTGGTCGCCAAGTCAGTGAACACCAGGTATTTGTTGTCTTTGAGCTTAAGCGGGCTTGGGGTATGTGCCCATGGTGGCAAATGAAATCATCATCTGTCCAAAACACATGCATCTCACTCTCGTAGTCTGATTTCTTCAAGAGCTTTGCTAGAAAAGTGCATTTGCAACATAAATGGCTCTTCAAACGTGCTTAGGGCCTCAAGTCTGGGGATTAAGTTTAAGGCTGAAGAATTGGTAAAATTGTTAACAGCAAAAAGTTCCAAGTAGTTCAAAGTAGGCTAAGTAAACAAAAAAAAAAAAAAAAAAAAAAAAAAAAATTGCAGTCTTTACTGACGTTAACTTATTTGGTGTATGTCCAATTAAGTTTTTTGGAAGACTCAAGTTATTCATCTAAGTATACTTCTATCATTACTTGATATTATATTTCTTCCTACTCAATGATAGTCCCATCAATACATTAAATTGATTTCAAGGTCTTGTTTTTGTTTTTGTTTTTGTTTATTCTTTTTGATATTTTTGTTTATTTATTTTTCATATAAACCATGTGTACTTATTAAAGCTTTTCCATATAAGTTGTTAAGTGTGCTCGTTCCTCTAAAGGTTACTTTAAAAAACCCATGGTATTGCTTTAAATTTATATTATTTATAAGTATGTTATTTTTTTTTAGAAGTAACTATATAGATTTGAATTTTTTTGAATTTAAGAAGAAATTTTGAGCAAACAGTTTTTGTTTCCAAGATAATATTTTTTAAGTCTTTTATGCCATAGATTAATTATTATTAAAAAAAATAAAGAATATAATGAAGTTAAATTATAAAAATATTAAAATATCATATCTTAAGATAAAAACACCAACTAGCATTCTATCCAAATATATAAGTAGAATATAACTTTTGTCAAAACCATATATTTATTTATTTTAACAAAGCTATTTATTTCAAAATTTAATATATTTTAATAGAATGATAATATTTTTTATAAATCTTAAAATCTATATTTAGATTAAATGATATCTAATACTAATATTAAAAATACTTGTTACATGAAAAACTATAATTTAGCAATCTTTACTTTATTCCAACACAAATTAGATAATTATCACATTATTATTTTAAGAATTTGACAACCAAGTATGCTTAATATGATATTTGACTTAAAAACACTTATATAAAGAAAATTTGTACCAATCAAGATAAATCATATTATTCTATATCTTATTTTAAATTATTTAAAAAATATAGATTATTATATTATAAATTTTAATAAAGAAATTTTATTTTCCATTAGACATATATACATCCATATATGTATGTATGTATGCATGCATAAATAAAAAAATTTAAACATCCATTTCAAAGTTTAATATAAAAAAATAAAAAATAAAAAATATTTTGTGTAGTCAACTTATCATGTGATTACATTACTTTAGTTTTTTTTGCTATATCAAAAAAATAATAATTAATATATGTGGTTGGATAAAATCAATTTTTTATTGTAATTAATTAAAAACTACCTATAGTTTATTATAATTTTAAAATTTAATAGTAATTATTTAAAAATAAAAAATTGATATTGCTCCGATCTTACTGCCATTCATACAATGTCCATGTGGTTGCCCAAAGAAGCATTGCATCCATATGAAAGATATGGAAATAGCCAAAAGAGTGTTTAAATGTAGCTGCGACCATTTTCAAGTGCATGTATGGTTTTGTAAATCCAAAAAATTAGATAATTACTCTGATAGGCATTCAAAGATAATATCAAATAAAAGAATGATGGAATATCCATACGCAAATATTTGTGACCATTCAATTTGCTCTTGTGCACTTATTGACAATGATACAATAATTGTATTCGCTATGATTCATTGTTCATTGTACCATGCTATGAGCTAATGACAAATTGTTTCTATGATTGGAAATAACAGCATTTCATACACTTCTAAGATCCATAAATTTAGAGATTCTTCAATATTTGAAGTCATGTAGCCAAATCAATTTCTGTCAAACTATGACAATGCCCAATACTATGGTCCAATATTCATCAAGTACTTTATAGCTTTTCATATACATCCTAGTCTTTTGAGAGTTGAAAGTTGAAGTTTGAAATAGTTGGTCGCTTGTGTAGCTGCCTAAAAATATCGTATAAGGATTGGATTCTTGAATTACCATTGGAAATTCTCAACTAAATGGCACATACAAAATGCGTATTTGCATGTTAAAAATACAAGGTTGACAACATCAATGAGACCTTTTTATTGATGAGACAAAAATATGAACTTCAAAAGTTTGTAGTTCAATGGACAGGATGTAAGAATTGATGTCTTTAGCTTTTGCAAGAACCACAATTTATTATTGTTATTTTTAACATTTGTAATGCTAAATGCAATAGAAAATAGTTTTTTCTTTGGATTACTTATTATAATAGCAAGAAATACTCTATAGTATTTATCTTTTAGATGGATGTTGTCTATACAAATGACAAGTCAACAATGTTATAAGCCATATAAACATCTATTATAGATGACAAAAAATTAAAGAAAGCAATTTTCTTCATTGACTTCTAATTCTACATAAATCCCAAGATTTGTTGTCTTGATTTGGTGACAATATGCTTTTAGGTTGGTATAGCTATCTTCATAAAGCCAATTAGCTGCCAATTGGCTCTTGAATATTGTCACTCTTTTCATTGAAAGGGTGAAGGCAAGTTTGGCACCCTATCCAAAAAAATGACAACCGATCTAGATTCCTTCACACGATGATATTGGGTATCTCACGCTGCACCAACTTTACCTTCACAAGTCTGACGTAAAGGTTCCTCGAGAAAGACCACAATGACGTTTCTACTAAGTGAGATAGCCTATATCCAGAACACACAGCGTTTGAGAGACGTTTTGTTCACGTCTCCCAAATCCTTCTTTTGCAACTTCTATTGGAGACCCACAAAAGAAGTCCTAGGCTGAATGCAGTAGCCACTCTGTTCTTGAATATACAGAATTCAAACGGCATGAGGAGCTGCAAACACGCGAAGCCTACCAATTATTCAGCAACAACTAAAATCCTTCAATTCACGAGATGAAGAAGAGGGCCACGAACCTCGCAAAAAACAACTCATAAAACAACCACTCAAGGCACCTAGAGTCCAAGGCCACGACTGGAGCGAACACTCCTGCATGTTAAAGATTTGATTCATCGCTTGAATTCGACGCTGGGTACACCTGCAAGATTGTGTTCGCAACACACATGGTGCTCCTAAGAAACGCTCCCCTCACACTTATTGATCCGGCCAATAAA